TTCCTTCCTTCCTTCCTTCCTTCCTTCCTTCCTTCCTTCCTTCCCTTTTCTCTCAAACTAAACTTGGGCCGGTAGAATTCCCCGTTTTAGGACTTTGGAGAGAAGAGAGTTTCTAGCTCTTCCCCGCCTGCAGCCAGAGTCAGGAGCAGAGCCACATAAGATGAGCACATTTCCTCCTGAGAGGCTCCCTGAGTTGAGACGGAGGCTTTGGCGTGTCCGTCAGTCCCCTGGTCACGTAGCATCATTATTACCGCGGAGCAGCCACGGTGGAATCGGCGTTGCTCATGGGTTCAGGGACGGGAGGGCCCCCGGGTCCCACTGCCGCCACCTCTCTGCGGGGACCAGAGCCGGCTTTGGAAAAGAGGCGGGACTTTCCCTCTGTTATTACTTCTCCCACTTTTTCGTCCTTCCTCTTCATCTTAATCGGTTCATCATAATAAAGAATGAAAGCTGCTTATCCCCCAGTATGTTCATTTGGGGGCATTAAGTATCCATATTTATCCTAACTAAATTGCTTTTCATTTACATTGGTTTAATCTTTCAATTTTTAAAAACAATCGACAGTGGCCTTCGGTAGGAAGAGGCCCTTCTTTGCTCCGGGGCTGGCGTGTGGTTCAAATGGTTCGAGCAGTGACTTGGATTCCAGTTCTGACTCTGTGTCAAGGGGCTGCTTGGCTTCAGACAAGGCCCTTACACTCCTGAATTTGCTTCATTTGCAAGCTAAGGGGCTGCGCTCTATCTATGAGTCTAAATGTTTTCATGCAGAGCCACGCCCAGGGCCAATCCCATGTCCCTTTGGGGCCTGTGTGTGAGAGTGTGTGTGAGTGTGTGAGTGTGCGTGACTGAATGTTAAACACCCTTTTCATTTTTAACCCCTATTAACCTCATATAGAACAGTTATTTCAGGAATGTTCTCGAGAAACCATCAATAGACAACAGAAAGGGGGTTGTCTCCAGAGGTCTGTAAATACGGCTCATGCATGATTTGTGGGAGAGCTTTTGGGGCCTTCCCCATGAAGCTGCATCAGTTTATTTGATGAGTTTCGTGAATCCTGGGTCCCAAGGGGATGAGTTTCGGGCGGGGCTAAGAAGAGGGTTGGAGTGGAACAGTCTCTGGGTGTTGGTGGATCAGAGAAGACAGAACTCAGAACTTACAGGCCCTGAGGGGCGTGGTGGGCTAACAGTGGCCCCCACAGGTAGCCACGTCAAGTCCCTGGAACCTGTGGATGGGACCTTATTTGGAAAAAGGGTCTTTGCAGATGTGGTGAAGCTAAGGGTCTCGAGATGAGATCATCCTGGATTATCCAGATGGGCTTCAGATCCAATGACAAGTGTCCTTACAAGAGACACACACAAGAGGGGGGCGGTGTGACCACAGAGGCAGAGACGGGAGCCACGTGGCCACAGATGAAGGCTGGCCAACAGCTGCCAGAAGCTGGAAGAGGCCAGGGACAGAATCTAGAGCCTCCTGAGGGAGTCCCTGCCCACTCCTTGATTTGGGACACCCGGTCCCCAGAACTGGGAGAGAATTCATTTCTGTTGTCTGAAGCCACAGGGTTTGAGGCGAGTTGGTGTGGCCGCCACAGGTGTGGCCGCTGGGTGAGGGAGACTGAGGCAGCACCTCGGCACCTGGCCCTGCTGCCCGGGTCCCCTGACGGGGCCCAAGGCGGCTGGGAAGGTGGCGGTTTGGGGGAGTCCTAGTTATGGGAAGGGATTCTCGGCCCCGCCCAGGTGGCTTTCCTGTCCTCAGCGCCAGCCCGGGACAGTGGACCTCAGCTGCCTGTCGCCCCCACAGGCCCGGGGCCGCCTGCTGCACCCGGCTGGGTCCACCCCGACCTGGGGTCCTCGGCGGTGGTGGGGGCACAGCCTGCGCGTGGCGTTGCTCCAGCCGCTCGCCCAGCCCCAGCTGCTCATTCTGAGGGACAGTCGGTGGGGCCTGTCTCCTGCAGGGGCTCGTGGTGGGGTGGAGCTGGTGAGCTTTCCTGCGGGCAGAGCCTGTTCCCACGGCGCTCAGGTGGTTGGCTCGGCCCCTCCCACTGCTCGTCCCAGACGCTGTCCTTGGCCCTCTTTCTTCCCTGTTTACTCCCCCCCCCCAGTCAACGCCCCTCCACTCCTCTGACCTCTGGCACCATCATTAGCGTGGCCTTATGCCAACCTACAGATAAATGGAATCACACAGAAAGTGTTAGTTTTCGGTCCGGCTTCTTTCACTCAACATTGAGTTTGTAAGACTAATTCACGTTGCTGCACGTAACCATAGTTTCTTCTTTTTCATTGCTGTGTAATAGTCCATCATATAAACGTACAACTGTTTGTTTTATCGTGGATGGATATCTGCGTCATTTTCAATCCTGACTTTGAAGAATAAGGCTCGTATGCGCATTCTAGAGCACACCTTCGGTGAAAAGAAGTATGCATTTCTGTGTGGTCTACACCACGTGTGGAGTTGCTAGGTCCTGGGACAGGTGCCCCTTTGGTTTAAACAGACACTCGCGGTTGTCCTAAGATGATGTACCAACTTACGCTTCCACCAGCAATGAGCAAGGGTGCCGTGCAGCCACTTCATACGTGGATTACGTGATCTGCGATAATTGCTGCCAGTAGGGGTGGTCCAGCCTCTTAACCGCTATTAAAACCGAACTAGGAATTAGGAATGAGAGCAGGTATGCAAAGTGTCACCCTGGTGACTCTCTCAGAGCACCGGGACTCTCTAGTACAGGGCTCTCATCCTGGCTGCATGTGGAGTCACCGGGGAGCTCCTGCAGGAAATACCGTGTCCAAGGTCCCACTGGATGCCAAGTAAATGACATTTCTAGCCCTAGGGCCTGGGCACTGGTTGTTCTAAGGAGCCTGGTGAGGCGAATGGGCAGCGAGGGTTGGAAACCAATGCACCAGTGTTTTGGTCAGTTTTTAGGGTATGTTCCCTTTTTGCTTTAAGAGGCTGTCTCTCCGTGTTGCTGTATGTTCTTGGTTCAGGTATGCTTTGTGTGTGTGTGTGTATCTACATGTACACACACATAAAATTTCTATTCCTAAAGAAACTGATAGAAATCCAAGGAACCTGCTCACACAATTGCACCTCAGAGCAGCTCCGGAGCCAGTGACTCTCCACTGAGTTCAAGATGCTGGATAAACATCGTGGGGCTGTTTCCACAGGGAACTTTCTGGCCGCAATTCAAGCTCACTCCCACCACGGGATGGCGGCCACCGTGACCACCGTGTAGGTTGGACCCACCCAGGCTCAGGGAAAGAGATAACTAAGAAACCACCCAGATAACCCGAGGCTGAAATGCGGCTGCCAAGAGAGAGGCTGACTTCCTGCGGCAGACTTTCCCCGGCTGGCCAAGAGCTTCGTGTGCGTCCCTGGAACTTTCATTTCTGTTTCTCACCTGCCTCTGGAACATCCTGAGAGGCTGCTTGTCTATTTGTTCCGGGGACTCGGGCGTTTGCATATAAATCTGAGCAGCAGGTGCCGCTGTGGAGCAGAGGCCTCTGAAAGGCCAAGGCCTGTCCTTTCAGCCCAGACACTGCAAAGGGGCTGTTTCTGTTTCCCTGCAGGATTGCGGGCCCCTCGCTGTGCTTGTGACTAGACAGACTGACCCGAGTGCTGCTCAGCTGGGTCCCACCCAGACGCTGAAGGGAACACTTCAAGCAAACCTTTTGCTTGTTAACCCCTGCCCACCAGAGGATATTTTCTTCATTGATATTTTAGAGAGACAGGAAGGAAGGAAGGAAGGAAGGAAGGAAGGAAGGAAGGAAGGAAAGAAAGAAAGAAAGAGACGGAGACATTGATTTGAAAGAGACACATCAACTGGTTGCCTCCCACACACGCCCCAACCAGGGCCTGGGATCGAACCTGCAACCCGGGACGTACCCTTGACTGGAAATCGAACCCTTGACCCTGCGGCACATGGGCCGATGCTCTAACCCCTGACCCACCGCCGCCAGGGCCAAGCAAAACTTGCGTGTCACCTGACACACAGATGATACCGGTGACTTTGGTCTCCTGGCCCCTCCCTCGCATTATTTACAAGGTCACTATCACCCGCCTCACGTTGGTTGGAGATCCGCCCACTGAAGTTATAGGAGAGAACCTGGTAGTCATGCAAGTTGATTTTATTTACGGCAGGATTCAGAAGTGACAGCACATGGAATGAAGACAACGACCTGCTACACCTCCTCCTTCATGGTCTTGATGATCCAGTTGAGGTACTTCTTTGTGAGCAGCATGTAGATGCCAGGGCCCTGGGGGTCTCCACACTTGCCCTCAAGGCCGAAGGACGTGACACCTCTGAAGGTGCCTTCACATATCAGGGGGCTTCCCGAGTCTCCCTGGGGGGACAGGAGCAGCGGCGGGTCAGCATCAAGCATGGCCATTGCCCATGGAGAAACCCCATTTACTGTGGAGCTCAGACCAACCTCCACTTAACTGAAAATCAGTGCTTAAAACACCAAAATGTTGAGAACATTTTAGTATTTCTAGATCGGCTTAATTTACTTACAAACCAGTGGAAGTTAACACAGACGTTGTATTACTGTTTATGTTACCCCGTAATTTCGAGGCCAATTTTTCTGCTTTAGGAAGGAAACCCTTCTATTGGTCATTTTCTCAAAATGCCTCATCACTTGAGCGGTTAAATAGTCCAATGCAGATGGGACATTGAGGCAAAAAGTAGAAACCATGGGTTTCAGTTTCTCCAGCAGATATTATCTTCCCAAAGAAACAAAACCAAAGCAGCCTCTCCTCTCACCCCTCAGACAGACAACAACCCCTCCCCAGTCTGCTCTGAGCACCTGACACCGGGTGGCAGCTCCCGGGATCAGTGATGCCCCTCAGAGCTCGCTGGCTCCACGGCAGAGAGGCCCCGGGAGCCGTGAGTTGCTGTTCAATCTTCCCGACTGGGCCTCCCCGTGCGCGATCCTGTCTCACCTCAGGGATTCTGGGATTAGCCTATTGTAACCTATTCGAGGTCCAGCGTCCGGGCTGGTGGTGCTCAGGTCGCGGGCCAAGCAGGTCTGTGCACACAGCTCTGCGGATGCCAGGCTCCGAGGGCCCAGCTCCATCCCAGCAACGCGCAGGCACTGGGACCTTCCCTTTCCTGGCAAGAACTAGCCCATGAGAGTGTGAAGTGAGAAGCTGGGGTCCGCCCCGCACACATGTATTTCTCCTGCCTACTATAGTGCCTGGAAATTCAGAATGAGTCTTTTAGGTGTAATTCATCCACAGCCATTGAGAGAATAGGCAAAGGACTGCTGAGCTTGGAGGGGAGAAGGTGGCAGGTGACAGGTGTCTTGGGATGCTGCCGTGGCCTCAGGATGTTGCATGTAGGTTCCAAAAGCATGAGCGTTCTGAGAGGTAAAAAATCTCTAAAGTGTTTCTTACACCTCTATCCTCAGGCGGGGCCCTGTTGCATCCCTTCTCTGGACTCTGACATAGAGGCTGACATTCTCTGTGTGGGTCATGCTTGGGAGCTGTTTCCTGGTGATTGGGCTTGGATCTAGGAAGATGCGGGGTCTTGCTGAGATCCTCAGTCAGGCTTGGGGACAACAGGCTTTTCAGACTCCCCAGGTTCAATGGCAGAGGAATTTGGGGCATGTGCTGAGATATGGGGAAAAGAATACAGAAGGCCCTAGAGGAACCCTACCCTCAGCTCTCCTGAGTGTTCCCTATTTTTAAATTTAGATCTGCATGTGTTAATATGAAGAAGAGAGAGAAAAAAACACATTGCTGCTTGGGTCGTTTTGATATACAATCCAGAAGATGTCACAGGCCACAGGCCCACCCGTGCGCTAGCAGTGAGCATGTTGTTGTTGTTATTATTACTAATTATTTTCTGACTAACTCACCTAGCTGAGCGCTAGGACTCCACCGAAGCCAATGCCAGGAGAAGACTAAGCATGACATTGTGCCTCAGGATGTTGCATGTAGGTTCCAAAAGCATGAGAGTTAACCCAAAAGCCAGACCCAATGTAACCCAACAGCCAGACCCAAATTAACCCAACAGCCAGACCCAACGTAACCCAACAGCCAGCATGGGGGATCATCTTTTACTTACTGTGCACGAGTCCTTTCCACCTTTGCGGTCCCCAGCACAAACCATATTCAGCCCAATCACAGGATCATAATTATAGTGCTGTGGGTCATTGCAGGTTTTTCTGTCTATGACGGTGACATTGACTTCTCTCAGAGTCTCGGATGGGGTTCCAGACTTATTGTTAACCAACCCCCATCCTGCAACTTGGCACATGGTTCCTGGTTTCACATCTTGCCCCGATTTGGGGAGATGAAGGATAGCCACGTTTTTATTAATTCTTGCTTTCCTATCCAGCTGTTGGAAGACAAGCATAAAGAGTTAACAGAATGAGATAATTAAAATATTCACGTTTTTATGACCCCCAGGGACTCCCTTATGTAGCTATAGTCTGTAGCTACAGGGGCATCTACAAAGGTGCCATGTAGGTGGCCAGACTGTAGGAGGTTCTATGGCTTTCAAGTCAACGGAAGGTTTGTACCTTTAGAAGACGAAGGTCACCCTCGTGAGTTTCCTGGTCATAGCATGGGTAGGAAAACAGCTTCTCCACGCGCATTTTCTGTTTCTGTGGCTCATTCTTGGATAGTGAGTGAGCCCCAAGAATGACCTCAGCCCTTTTATTCCTGAAAACAGACACAGCACTGTGAATGGGTTCAGTCTTTCGATCAGGAGCTGAGCATATCATGTGAGGATCAGTTTCATTGTCCCACTTATAAATACGCTTGCCCTGGAAATACTTGTTTGTAGGTCAGAAAAAAATGTGCACTTTAAAGAACAAAAAGATGTTTATGAATTCATCATCACCACCAGCATATTTATAACAAGCTAAGCTGGGTTTATTGAAAACAAAGTTTCACCCCCACTTTAGCTGTGATAGGGAACCAAGCTGCAGATGACTGGAAAACAGAGGTCTCAGTAGTCTAGGGACAGCAGCCCAGCCACTGGATACCCGCAGGGTCACTCCAGCAAACTTACCTTAAGTGGAAAAACTTTCAGAAACACATTGTTCAGTGGAGGACCCCATTTGCGTGATACCGAGTGTGTATTGGGGGGATGGCTGTCTGAAGGAGGGACCCACGTCAGTTCTCTTACTCTATGCTAAAGGTTCCTCTTGATTACTAAAATCAAAATACTCTTTGATGTATTAATGGTTAAGGCTATTATCATTCACAAGCTAGTATAAACTACGCGACCTGACATTCACACAGCTGTTTTTCCATTGCACCAGCCGATGTGAGTCTCACTTGAGACGTTAGAACTAGGCTCTCAGTGGAGCACAGTTTAATGATGTCCTATCAGTCTGCGCCATCCAGTGTGGAATCAGCCACACACGGCTGCTGAGGACGTGAAATGAGGTGAGTGTGACTGAGGAAGTAGATTTGTAATTTTATTTAAGTTTTACTAGTTCACATTTATATGGCCGCATGTAATCTCCATCACCGGCACCATAGTGGCCATCACATCAGCCGGCCAGGCTTAGAGGCCTGATTCAGGGAGTGGAGACAAGGGCAGTCCTCAGCCACAGAGGCGCCTGCAGGTGTGAGAGGCGGTCACCGAGGGGCCACAAGGCCTTTGAGACAAGCTTTCTCCACTGGACAGTGGTGCTCGGGCCCCTGAGGAAACTGGGGACTCGGCTCATCCTACCCAGTCATGGAATCCCCGGGCCCAGGAGGCTGGAGCAGGGACCTGCAGAAAGAGCTGTGGGCCCTGGACTCTGGCTCAGTGGTTAGAGCGCCAGCCTGGGGACTGAAGGATCTCGGGTTTGATTCTCGGTCAAGGGCATGTACCTCGGTTGCAGGCTCGATACCCCCCGCCCGCCCCCCGAGCATGCAGGAGGCAACCAATCGACACGTCTCTCTCACATCGATGTTTGTCTGTCTCTCCCCCTCCCTTCCACTCTCTCTAAAAAACAATCAATGGAAAAAATATCCTCATGTGAGGATTAACAAAAATAAAATAAATAAATAAAATTAGATTTACTTTAGAAAAAAAAGAAAGCTGTGGACCCTGCTTCCTCACGGGCTCGTTCTCTGGCGTCCCATCTGGACTCAACTCCTGGTTGGGGTAAAGCAAGTTTCCAGAGACGTAAGTACTGTGAGCCTCCCGTGGCTTCAGTGGCATTTACTTTCTTATTTAATATTCACCCAAATTAGAATATCTCCACAAACTTTTGTTTTAAACCCAAACATTTACAGTTTACAGTGAGCGGCTGTCAACACCCAGTTTTCGGCAATCAAAGCCCCGGCACAGATGTCGTTGCCCTTAAGCAGCACCATGTATGGTCTTGAGTGAGGAGTCACTTCCTTTCCTCCAATGATTTCCCCACAGAGACCTGTTAGAAAGAAAAAGGCAAATCAGTCCTGGCTGGTGTTCTCAGTGGTTAGAGCATCCGCCTGGGGACTGAAGGGCCTCGGGTTCGATTCCTGGTCAAGGGCAGGTACCTGGGTTGCAGGTTCGTTCCCACCTCCAGTCTGGGCGGGTGCGGGTGGCAACCAGTTGATGTGTCTCTCACATCATTGTCTCTCTCTCTCCCCCCCTCTCTCTGAAAAGCAATGGAAAAAATATCCTCGGTGAGCATTAACCGAAAAAAAAAAAAGGCCAGTCATACTGGTGCCCACCCGAGAGCTCTATCGAAAGCCACGTTTCTAAGACCAGAAACACTGTCTCCCTGGGAGAGAAGTGAAGCCGAGACCACCCTCCCCACCCTCCGAGGACGGCCAGAGGCCTGAATGTAAGTCCCGTGCCTGCCGGACTCTCTAAGAGGTCCCCACAGAAGCCTCGCCCTTGATGGTTCCAGGGGTCATTCAGGCTGGAAGTCAGACCTCAGGGCTCAGGGCTCAGACCTCAGGGCTCAGACCTCAGACCTCGGGGCTCGGGGCTCGGGGCTC